GTGTGTGTGTGTGTGTGTGTGTGAGAGAGAGAGAGTGTGTGTGTGTGTGTGTGTGTGTTTGTGTGTGTGTGTGTGTGTGTGTGTGTGTTTGTGTGTGAGAGAGAGAGAGAGTGTGTGAGAGAGAGCTCTTAATAAATAATATATACATTTTAAATCTCATAAAATCACATTAATATTACATTATTATATCTACACGTTTTAAATATTTTTTAAATAAATCACATTTGAACATTCATTATTAACATATATGAAAATAAAAATCTATATTTGCATAAAATAAACAGTTTCAATAAATCACAAATTCATATTATTCAATCATTAGTAAAATACACTAAGATTATATATTCATATATTTTAGTCACTAGATTTACATCACATATGAATAATAAATTATTCATAATTAATAACTACTTAATGATTAAAACAGAATATGTGTACATATATTTAATAATTAATAACCATATATATAGATAATTCACATTACTTATACATATATATATAGTTTAAATAAGCAATTCATAATTCATGTAACTACTACTGCCCTATGATAATGACTGTTAATGACTTATAAAGGTAAGTTTTCCTATTATTATTATTATTATTATTTCAGTAAAGCTCAACTCATCAGTCTGCTTTATGGAAGTATTCTTCCCTTTCAGTTTCTCCAGAAGAATTCAAATAAATGCTTCAATCATGAGTTCATGAACCAAACCAACCTGATCCAGATGAATCCCATCATATGATTCACGGCCGAGAATCAAATCAAGACAAGGACAAAGAGCGCAAGACGTCTCACAAACATAAATAATCAAACCGCATGTATTACAATGCCATCCCATAATGCTCAGCGCACACATCCCTATGGTAACCGGTGGTGTGTTTGCGTCCTCAGATATGGAGGCGTCCGTTCGTCAGGGAGCGGCGGAGCTGCAGCAGAACTCGGCACGACTGACCGGTCTGGACGCTCAGGTGGAGAAACTCAGAGACGACATCCGCTATAAAGTCACCAGTCTGAGTATATGCCATGGCTGAGGACCACAACACACGAGAAACGCTCATGTGCAACCAATAAAGTGTCTGAATGAAGATTATTGTGAGCGTGCGTTTATATTTACAGTGGAATACTAACATACTACACAGTGTGCACGGCAGACTGCTTACTAACGTAAGTATGCAGTGTGCATCCGTGTTGTTATTAACAAAAACTGTTAAAAAAGCGTTTCATTAATTAAAATGACTAAAATAGAAGTAAAAATTAAACTAAAAACTAATAAAAATGATAAAAGAACAGCAAAACTACTAAATATTTTACTAAAATTCAAATGAAAATATAAAAATAAAAGCTAATTGAAAATATTATTAAATACTAAAATAGTGAATAAATAATACTAAGATAGCACTGGCATGCATAAACAGTTGTCAAATGAAATGTTGAAAAGTTTAAGTACTAAAAAAGAGTGCGCTATTGTATACTGCACTTTTAGAGCAATTTTGTAGGTATTTGGGTATTTTGTGTACAAAAACTTCAGCATACTGGAGATGACATAGTATGAGTAGTAGCTATTGTATACTGCACTTTTAGAGCAATTTTGTAGGTATTTGGGTATTTTGCGTACAAAAACTTCAGCATACTGGAGATGACATAGTATGAGTAGTATACTAGCATGCAATCCCCAACTTTTGAAGGTAAAATTACATGAAAATGGCATTAAAACACACATGAATTCTCCAGGATATTACACTGGTGTGTAAATAACTTTATTTTATGTATTTTAATACAGACATACAGCAGCGTGTTTATGGAGTACAGCAGGGCTCTGTGCTGATACCGACTTAAGAAGCCCCTAAATAACACATAAAATCATCTTATATGCATTTATAAGACATAAATATAGCGAATACAACAGCGAGCATGAGTTTGAAATAAGAAAATAAGATTTAAACACATTTCTTACATTAAAAACACTCAAACCTGCCGCCGCTCACAGTAGAACAGTGGCACACGTGATCTGCCCTTCCCATGATGCACCGGCATCGGCCCAAATACGACTATCGTACATGAATATACGGAAAATAATACAATAAACCTGCCTTGTCCTGAATTCCTGAGAGAAATTACATTCTCAATCTGCTTGAAATGACAGAAATTACACTTTCGCTAGTGAGAGATGAAGATTTGAGATGCAGACATGTGTGCGATTGGCACTCGTGTGGATCCGACATGCGACCGATCCCATGAAAAACACACTTGATCATCCTACGAGCGCAGGATCTGAGAGAGAGAGAAGACAAGATGTCACACACCTTTACTGTCACGGGACGCTCAAAGCGGCGGCCTGAGCCCTACTCACTTCATTTGACTGACAGCTGTCAATCATCCATCACATCACAGAGCAAACCCCGGTCTGCAGGGACTGGCCCCGCTCATCTGTGCAACATGTCACTCTATCTGATCTGAAACACAGAGAAAAAATCATTTTACAGTTAAATTAATTATCTTCAGCCAATTACATCGATTTTTTTCATTTTATTAGGCCAAATAACTTTTAACTAATTTAATTAATTTCAAAAGCATTTTTAAATAAATCTTTATATAATATAAATCTATACAGAAAATACAAATATTTTCAAGTCATTAAACAAAATAAATTGCAATATAGTTTAATATATGAATATTAGAGCTGTCAAACGATTAATCGCATCCAAAATAAACGTTTTTGTTTACATGAATGCGATTAATCTCGATTAATCGTTTGACAGCACTAATATATATATATTCATATATTTATATATAATATATTTATATTCAAAGGCAGCATCATATTGATTCTTCATGGACAATGTTATCCCAGAATGCATTGCTACCGGTTCTTTGAAATGCCCCAAACTGTATAACGGACTCAAAAAAGATCTCAATTACAAATATACGATATTAAAAACTGAAATGTATTGATAGTCTCATATAATTAAAAGTCAAAGACGGCAGGTTAGTACATGTTGGCGGCGCAGGGCAGGTCAGACTCGGAGCAGTACACGTGTTGCCCCGTCTCACAGATGACCAGCGCGTGCATCGGCTCACTGATGCAGGCCTTTAGTGGGCCGCGGCCCCTGCTGACATCAGCTTGAGCCGACAGGGTCATGTGACTGCACGAAGGGTTCCCATTGGTGTCCAGCTTATCCGGGGGTGGGCCGGGGGACGAGACGTCCAGCACCTGGATCAGCGAGGCCGGGACCGGGGCCGGAGGGTCAGTGTGGGACAGCTGCAGCCGCCGCATGTGACTGACCACCACCGTCGCATTAATGACTCGCTGAAACACACGCACCGTCAATAATTCATACTGCCACACAGGATGAGAGAATAGATGATCTGCCCTCTCTCACCTTCCACTTGGATTTGGCAAAGGTTTTCTGCATCTGCTCACAGACGGACTGAATGATGTTGTCATTGTGCGCCGTGTCTCCAATGATCCTGCACAGACAGACCAGCGACTTCATTCATTCATCAACCAGCATGTTGATTCAGAAATCAGATTACTTATTTATCAACCTGCATGATTTTATGCATTAGTTTATGAAAAACTATGTTGATTTATCATGCCATGTTTTTTCATGAATCAGTGTTTATGCACGAATCAACATGCTTATTTATAAAGTTATGAATCTGAATGCATATTTATGTATTAGTTTGTTTATACATGCACAAGTATGTTGAGTCATCATGGCTTATGTTTATACATAAACATTAGTTTATGAAAAACTATATGTTGATTTATCATGCCATGTTTTTTCATGAATCAGTGTTTATGCACGAATCAACGTGCTTATTTATAAAGTTATGAATCTGAATGCATATTTATGTATTAGTTTGTTTATACATGCACAAGTATGTTGAGTCATCATGGCTTATGTTTATACATAAATCACCATGCTTATTTTAAAATGAATGTTTATTTATAAAACTGTATAGTTATTTATGAATCGGCATGTTTAATAAATAAACACTGATTTAATGAATTATCATACTTATCAAAGAATAAACAAATGTATAAATAATCAACATGCTTATTTTAAAATGTATGTTTATTCATAAATCATGAATCTGCATGTTTTATGCATTATTTATTAAAAAATATGCTGATTCATCATACCATTTTTTCATGAATCAGTGTTTATTCATAAATCAGTATATTTATTTATGTATCAGTATATTTATTTATTTATCAGCATGTTTGTTTGTTTATTCACGAATAAG